TCGACTAATATCTGCTTGTGATGAACTCAGGCGCCTCGGACCAATTACAGTGAAGAATTGGCTAGTTTTCTGATGGGTTCTTCCTCCTTATCAGCCTTGATCGTACGTTCCCCTCACTCTCTCATGCGCGAGCGGCCTGTCCGAGCCTGCCGATCAACCGATCAGATTAGATCCGATTTATTAAGGGAAAGGTAGGCAAACACCTTTGAACTCTCTTTTGGTTACAATAACGTCATAAAAAATCAATGCGCAAGGCAAGTGTCAAAGAAAATAAGGTAAGTAATTACATACAACAAGCATTGGTTACTGGTACAAATTTGTCTGTGAATGCCTTCTATGTCAAAAGTGTACAATAACCGGTTCGCGGTACTGAATGGACCAAGTAATATCGAAGCAAGCGTAAAGGCTTCGGTCAGGAGATAACAAAAAGTCGAGAGGAACACTACTTAAATATAAGGAGTAGAATGTTTTGTAACGTAAAACTTGGGATGGGTGGTATAGGGGAAATTTGTTAGTTCTGATGCCGTGGAGGTACATATCCCTGTACTTGTCAAGCTTCCTCTTGGATGTGTCCACGGATGAGGACATGACGACGTTCACAGGCAGGGCATTCCACGCCTTTACTACTCTGTGGCTGAAGATGGACCTCCTTGCGTCCAGTCTCGCTCCTGTCACACGTAGTTTCAGATTGAGTGCAGTGGCGTACGAGGTCTGGAAGCATCCGTCTACACGTGCCACATGAGTGTTGTTCCTCTACCCCTCCTGACCGGTCTTCGCTAATTAACACGCCACATACACAGGCGACATGTGGACTTTCTCACGTAGTGTGTTTCGCCCCGCAAAACAACACTGGAAAAAGTGTAGCGCATGTAGTTTGCGTGAACGATTTTTGACTTCCTGATAATAGCTGATGTGTACGGAAGTGTGCGCAAATAGACCCATCTGAGCGTATTTGTGTGTGTTAATGGTGGGAGAAACTGTGTAAATGAGGCAGGAGCTGCGTTGTTTCTGTGAAATCCTCCATGCAAGCGCCTGTGGTGTCCGAATGTCCTTGGACAGTATGCGCATTCAATGGGCGGAAAAATTTTTATAGTCATTTGTTGTCTTCCTGTGATTGGAAAACCGAGTGGCAATAAAGTGATGTTCTGAGCAAATTCACACCAAAAGGAGTCTGCTAAAGTTACAGTGGTCTGCTCCGTGATGATCAAACGCTCTTTCCCAGCCGGTGTGGTCCGTGCCTACTCGAGCGTTGAAGTTGTCGGGGGCCATCAGTGTGTCCGCCTTTGGCACAGAAACGAGACGTGCGTAAAGCTTCTCTTCTTCATCTTCTTCTTTGCGCTGTTCCTCTGGAGGTGTCAAAGCGGCAAAATCATACCGGCGAAGTGAGAACCTAATTGAAAAGAGACGATCGTGGATTCCACGACAAGAAGAGAAGCCAACCTCCTGTAGGGGTCGTTTCTAACGGTAAAGGCGATTCCATCACTCATGGCCGTAACTTCGGACAGTGCACCGACTTCATCAGCTGTTCTTGCACTTTAGACACGAACTTCGCGAGGTGCAGCAACGTCCAAATCTAAGCGAGCCAGTTTTCGTGCGAATAGGTGGATTTATTTCCTGGCCAAATGGATGTTGGATTATCTAAAAACTCTAGCAGGAGAATTAGGACTGATGTTGTTGATTACTGCAGTCGTACGGTTGCTTCTTTAGCGCCGATGGCCAACGACCAGTTGGCAGACGGCGTGGTTACCTGCATTTCTCCAGAGCGGACATGCAATGCGTTTCAGAATAAGACCGCCCAGACATCGCAAGCGGTTACTGCGTTCCCATATTAGGGGCCACTTTGGCACAGTGACAAGAGGACACGAAGTGGACTGAGCCGGCACAGTGACTGTTTCCGTCCCGTCTGCAGGACTCCCAGAGTTGGGAGGTAGAAAGAGGAAGTTAAGGGGTCATAGGTCATTTTAAATAAAGCCATTGTCTACGCATGCCACCACACCCAGAGACGACGTTCGGGCTGTAGATTTCGACGATGTCCACCGGTTGCTCCACAGGAGGATGAGAGTGGGACGATGACTTGCGCGTGTAATATAGTGCACTTGCGTAGCGTCTACCGCACTCCCCACCTCCCCACACCTCGATTTGGTGTCAAGATAAAGTCAAGAAGACCGGAGGCGGAAAAGGGTGCAGTTGGGTAGTACAACGAAAACCCACACCTTTTCGTACCACCATAACCCTGGTGCGCAATGTACACAAGAGGAGGAAAGGGGCTCAGACCCCACTCCCTTAAGATAAAGCCCTTGGTTGAACGCTTCACCATTTTCGATCTGGAATATGCAAAGCCAACGGAAGCGGAGGCGCACGGACGGACTTAGACAAAGATTCCTTGTGTCCTGCCCTAAAACTCCAATATAGTCTCCGTAGACACTAGCGTTAGGGTAAGCAATCATTACTGCTGAAGGGAGGCCGGCGGATGGCGGGGTGGGAGACTGGAATGAACGTCTCGAGTCTATTTGCCGCCATTAGTCAGACGCCCAACATGACAGTGATGGACATGTGCCCCTCACCCGCCAACCGGAATGGTGAAGCGCCGCTAATACTACTCTCCTGCTGACACATTTCCCGAAAGCTTTTGTGGAAATCTTATAGTTGAATTTGACTGATAAAGTTGACATGCTTCGTGTGCGGGTTCGACATGCCTGTCGGCAACAGAGTACACACATTCATACGCAGAGCTCTCGGGTGCCAAGATTAAGGGCATGTTTCAAATTGAAATATTCGTCGGTCGGATCTTATTTCTTAGCCGTACCCGCAGTAGACAAGCCTCAGCCTAGCCCCAACCCCTGACGAAATAAGATCTTGCCTACTCGCTCTTCTTTAGTAGGAAAAATCGTAGCAGTTATAGCTAATTGAATTCACCGATGAAAATGCACGTGCAGGACTTCCGCAACATCGTCCCGGTGGGAAGCGGATACAGTAACCCCTACTTGATTGCGGGGGTCGCCTTCCAGAACTCCCTACGAAAAGCGAGATCTGCGAAGTAAAAGCCACATGCTTCATGGGAATTTTTATATATCTTATAAAGCCTCTAACAGTCTTGTAGACATTTCTCACAGGCATACAACATAAGCCCCTTTTGTCCTCTTAGATATTGGGTAAAACTCGTTGAAATTATGCACGTAAACGCACTGTTTACACACTTCGCACAAAATACATGCATTGTATTGCGTTGGGGTGTTTTACTTAAATACTTCATAGTTTTAAACACATTATAGGAAAACACGTTCTAAAAATAGTTCTACATTTACTGTAATACACAGTAATGCACCCGTCTTACTTGCTTGTTCAGTTATATAAGGTATATTATGAGTATTCCCTTAGTAATAGTATCGTATTTCTCCGTTGCAGCCGTCTGCGGAGGCAGCCTCTCCATGCAGGATCACGTTGGCCAAATTGAACCTATCCTTGGATTTCTCAAACCAGCCATTAATGGCAGTGAATTCCCTTTCCTTGCTGGGGGACTTAGAAGTCCCAAGTGAAGAGGCGTCATCTACAGCATGCTCGCATCAACAAACCTATCCTGAAAATGCACTGCCTTCCCTCGGATGTCCGCGACGATGTTCTTCTTCTGCCAGCCTTCAACCCCATACCCCATGGGCAAATTCCGCACGGACTACAACGTCATTACGTCCACATACAACTCTCTTCGCACCCATGCTAAAGAACACTGCTGACGTAGACATTATATTCTTAACATCCTTCTTAATATAACAAACAGTGGACTCATTAATGCCGTAATGGGACCTCGCGGTGGCGTAGCTGCTAAATTCCTTCAGCATATCAAAAATTCCTACCTTTTCAGCGATTGTTGGCATCTTCGGTTGGCGCTTGGGCATGCTTCCCTGGAAGCAGTAGACGGAGCAGATCGTTTTGGAGGCATAACAAAGGGCTTGACTGCGCATAAAACTAAACACTTCACACAGCAAATCACGTTGATGCTGAATGAGCGAGACGAGATGCCGGCTAACGCGAGGCGGAATCTAATGTTGAGCCAATCAACAACCAGGACACCCAACCGCATGCTCTGATTAACTTCTCAGCCATCGGCCAATAGCGTCTCGTGTAGTAAATCAACTGGGCAAGTCAACTGGAGAAGCCTGTACCGTAAATAAGGACCATTGTCCGCAAAAACCCGGGAACCAGCTAAAACTCCGCGATCGGGCGAAGCTGCGAGAGCGAAGCCGAGCGATAAAGCGAGAGATTACTCCATACCGCGATGGAGGGAGAAACTCACACTTGCATAGTCGCCCCCCACAGCACCTAAAAACAATCCTTCTCGCCTGGCAGCGCATTTGAAGATCTCAACCAGCTTTTCAGTAGTCTGTGTTCTGTAAAAGAAAAACTCTGGGAGGATAGGGGGAGGCAAAGCAGACAACCTCTGGGAGGTTTGTCTCATCTTCTTTATAAAATACCGCGTCACAAAAGTCGGGAAGACGGCAGTACTCGAATAAATGCAAGCCCTCAAACAAGGATACATTGAAAAGCTGGAATAAAAATGGGAGGTCACTGAAATTTAAGTTTAAAAGACAATGTGGAGGCGATGCTGGAGGGAGGAGGAACACAGGGGAGAACTTTTCTCGGCAATGAGACATGTTAAGTAGGCAAAATAAGGAAGCACGTACTTACGAGTCATCTATTTAGGGAAAAAGGGAGTGTAGCCGCCCCGTGAGCGGGAGCATTGGGTTGGAGGGGAGGAGGGGGGAGGGAGGGACGCAAATTAAATACGGAGGCCGCCGTAGACGGGAAACTGAGGTAATAGTACTCAGAGAAGGCAACGCTGATTATTAGTACTGAGCAAACTTTTGTCGGAAATGCATGACTGTAGGAGGGAGGGAGGGAGGGGGGGGGTAAGTGATGGCAGATTAGAAGGGCGTTGATTAGGAAGAGGAGAGCTCAGAGAAAACCGGTTCCGGTGTGGGAAGTTTCCTCACTGCCTAACAAGTCTAATTATGCAGGGAACGAAAGCCGCGGGCGTAGGCCATCCATCGTCGAAAGGTCTGCTCCCAGAGGTCCGCGTGTTGCGGATCCAACTTGGCAAGCGTCTTCAGCTGACGCAAGTGCACAAAGTGGTACTGCCAACGAGCCCGATTGGGTCCCGACTGAAGGAGGCTGGCCAAGTCCTGCAGGTAGTCGAGGGAATGACTCTCCACCAGGCTCGACAACGGAGGCCGGAGGGCTCGGGTCGCACGGTTGAGACTGTGGGCCAGGTTCAAGTGGCGTAGGTCATAGAAGGAGCCACTGCCGCTATCGAACAGGGGCAGAACGTGCACCAGGGTGTTGAGGCCCTCGTTGAAGAGGATCTCCGACTTGCCGATGTTTTTGGATAACTCCTCGTGATCGGGCAGCGTGTCTTCTAGGGAAGTCTACACGGTTCAAAAGACAACATTCCCACTGAGAGACACTAGAAAATCGACAAATTTTACTGCAAAAGACGAGAGAAGTGGAACGACCGTCTGCCCTTATTTGCCAGTCATAGTAGTGGGACGCGGGGATAGGAACTTCCTCGTGGCCTTGTGAGGAATTCTAGGGAGATTAGGCTGGGTTGAGTTTCGGGTTGGTGTTAGGCAGGGACACGGGAATATATACTCGTCCTGGAATCTAGTGCAAGACTACCTACATCACGAGGGGTTCCTACCCCCATGCCTTGTCGACATACCAAACTCCAGGTCAGTAGACCTAAGGTTTGGACCGAGAATCACTCGTACTGCGTCCTGCAGTTGGGATGAATAAGTGAAAGTCGCCCGCATGCGACGGTAAAGTCCTTGAAACGAACCGCATTCGATCGTGGAGACAGCGATAGTACGCTACTGGACTGGCCAGACAAACACATTACGAGGTTTTGCAATCCAGCCGTCTAAAATACCTTCTTCTGCGTGGGACAGAAACTGTCCCATTAACTGAGTTTCGTGAATTTGACATCCCGGGTTTATAAATGGCTTCGGGTGCAAACGGGAAAGAAGCCAAGAATGGTAATTAAGGTTAGGCTTATTTACAATGGCAAGACGTCCTGAGTATTCGTCAATGTGTGGCCACCTGTAAAGAACCTAAATGACGGTCCTAATTCAAAGGGGCATACTAGTATTCCGTCCGTTAAGCAAACTAGCTGGGTGAATGTAGCCTTCACGTAACCGTGAACATTCTCCATTGACGTCGACAGAGTTGGAGCCCAGGACTTCAAGCTAACTGGACCAAGATCCGAATCTCGAGACTTCCCGCCATGGGGTCGGCAGGGCAACGGAGAGAAGGTACGTCAGAAATTGTAACGTCAGCCACCAGTGTCACTATGAGTAAACCCCTCGGCGAAAAGATTTTTAAAATTGGGACAACCTAATCTGGTTTGCGGTTTCCCACCCACATCGATAACCCATCTTTCGGTAGTTCTATGCGAAAGGTGAGGAAGCGTTTGTGCCTCGAAGGTATGCGAAGCTTTCATCTCACAGTCTAGTGCGAACGAGTCTCTGGTCTGGTAAAAAAAGGAAGACATACATCCGCTGTTCTTCTGCAAAACGAGCAAATGAGGGAGGGTTGGGCACAGTGAGCCTCTTTACCCATTGCATCGGCAGAAAGTCCAATAGCAACGGTATAGAGAAGGACCCCACTTAACGGTCAGTAGACGATAGATCGTGCCATACGTGATTTAGGGTAAAGGGGGTTTTATGGGTGGGGCAGCACGCTAGACAGTAGGCTGACAAAATGAAAAAAAAAAACACAAAAACTGCCTGAATATACGTTGAAAGTCTTATCCTACGCTATTGTGCAACAACGGAAATGAGAGTACTAATTAAACAATAAACAAAAAGTAAATTTCATAAAATAACGGATTTTGAGTTAAGGCGTGAGGTCGTGGCAGTTATTGCCAGTGTAATTTCAGCAATAGCCTGCAAATGTATGCCAAGATAACACCTCATATGACACGATCCACAGTCTACTGACAGTTAAGTGGAGTCCTTCTCTAGACCGTTGCCACTCCAGCATGATAATGTTGACAAAAACTCACGTGAGCCAGATCAAACAGACCAATCAGGGAGTAGATGAATCCGTTGAGGACAAAAACACTCGGCAGTATGGGGTATTCCTCGAACCAGGGCAGGCCGGGCTGGTCGAGGAAATGGGTTCGAACAGAGCAAGCACCGGGATGGCCGTCTGAACCGGCTACAATTGGTCGCATGAAGGGGGCCAGTGCCTGCACAGCGCAGTGCAGATACCGATGATCTCGAGTGTAATGGAAAACGCGAACCAACAGAGAAATCGCCTGACCTGCATGCAGATCGATAATGACAATAAAGGCAATGCAGACATCAAGGGGGAGCAACAGTAGGAAAATGAGCAGTTTCTTGATTATGGAAAGTTATGGGCACAAGAGACGCCAAACGTAGACTAGAGTTACTTAGCTGCATGACAACGAATTGAGACCTTCAAGCGTAAGAGATAAGACACGGGAATGGGAACCAGCTCTCCCACCTCCCCGGTAATACAGATGTTCCGGCACATGCAGTGGGGACCAGGTCATGTGCGGCACGCGTTGACGAACAGAGCATGGAATTTTACCTCGTAGACTACGAAAATGGCTGCACTGTATATAATTGCACTTAAAATTTCATACATACATGGAAAAGACCGCCTGCCGCACCCTTCGCAGTCCAGCACCGTAAAAACCTTTTCCGTAAACTAATGTTACTGGCAAAATGTCAGTACGGTGTGCATTTAACATTATATTGAACGCACCGTTTACAACAGTGTCATCATGACCATTGCCTACTACCCCAAAATATACTGTATACAAACAGCTTAACCCTGTCAGTTGCTGCGCCCGCTTACTTTGTCTTGACTCTGTCCTGCCATCAGAGCAAGGTAGGTCGAACTACCCAGAAGACAAGCGTGCGGGTCGACTTTCGTGCCAACTGGCAATGCGGTAGGGTGAAGTGCCTGTCGTGGCTTGAGAGGCTGAGCCTACGTGAGCTGCAAGGCCTCACGTAGGCGGGCTACAGCTCACGAACCAAGGTTGCCACTTTTGGTTCATTTCAACAGGTATCCTTCTGAGGGGTAACAATATCCCAGTTTAACGAAAAAGCCAAACTCGGAAAGCGACTGCTCGTATGGTCTCCCTCATGATGGGAAAGCAGACCATGAGCCTGAAGCGCCCTCTCAATGTTAAACTCCTTAATCTTCCTTCGGACCAAAGTAAGGAGGTGAGGCCCTCGCATTTGCGCCACGCAATAACCCAAAATCGGCAAAACACGTGCCTAGGCCTTTGCTTAGCACTTGTGCATCAACCAGTTGGCAGCTTATGAAAATTAAGCGGTTAGTTTGCGGAAACATATGGGCTTCCGATCAAGTACTCATCTTAATTTATGGATCAAATCTGGAAAGGAATGCGCCGTTGTACTTTGGGTGGTTGAGAAATAGTTTTCCTAACCCCTAACTCCAAACCCAACGGTATTGTGTCCATCAGGTGGGGATATAAAACCGCATCTTACCGAAATAGCATTTTCTCTGATGCAATATGGGTAGGACAGCAGAGTTTGCGCAAGCATCGAAAAATGATGGAATTCAGGTGCTCTCGGGTGACTTAGATGAGACAAACAAAGCAGGGAAAGGATAAAGTGCAGTACCTTGGCCCATTGCTGAACACCAACCGGGCTGGAGTACAAGCTCGTCCGTAAAGTAGCGACGTGTGCCGACGCGCCAGCCACCATCCGCCTGGTTCTGATTCTTCACCAACCAGTCGGAAGCGGCGAGGAAGCGGGTTTCGAGGAAGCGACGGAGGGCTTCCTGTCGGCGGACCGACCCCTGGCTTGCGGAGTCGCCGGAGAAGAGGAGGAAATCAGAGATGGAACCGCCAGTGGCAGTCAAGAGGGCGGACTTGAGTGTGAGACTGAAAGGAAACAGCAGCAGTAAGCTGGACTAAAAAAAACATCCGCAGAGTCTACCCTCGCAGGCAACAAGAAAGTGGTTGTGGGTCAGTCCTTGCCTAACTGTTCTTACCAAACAGCCAGCGTACAACCTCAGTCGGAGGAGGATTGAGGTTTGAACCCCGGGGCAGTTCTTTTAAAGCCAGGAGTTGCCACTCCAGTGGCCCTTACCTGCGACTAAAAATATCCAAACGGTTGTTTTATGGTTTTAAGGGACGCAGTTCGCCCATTGTGAGGAAATTGATACCGTGATAAACGACGACCTCCACCATGTGGTTCCCAGAGTGCGCCCTGACTTGCGTAGCATCTGCCACACTCCGTCTTCCACCGTCTATTTTGATCTGATGTCAGGACAATGCCATGACGACCGCAGGTGGTCTCGGGCGCAGCGGCTCGCCTACGCGTCCCACGAACGACCTGGTTCCCACTACATGTTCCAGGCTACGGCAAGGGCAGGTCGGATGCCGCGCGCGTAAAAATGTCCTGAAGGCCACATTGAGGAGCTATTGCAATTTGACTATTAGTCCTTTAGTCAGTGCGCTACACTCCCTATGAAATTCCCAGTGTCGGTCTCAGTCTCCCTTCCCGCCACCCCCAATACTCCAGTTCACTGCCCGAGCCTGTCAGTCAACTGGTGATGGGATCGGGCACCATGGCTGGCGCGGTGTGATGTTCAAATACAGACACCTGTACGACAGTAGTTATGAGCTTGAGCGGACTCTGCGCGGCCAAATAGACGTCTTCCGCGAGCCATTCCGATTGCTGTTTTGACTCGATACATCTGCAGTGCAGCCCCCTCTGGGGTCCAAAGAAGCAAACACAAGAATGCAAGCGTTATGTGATTGATAAATGGGAATATGCAATGCTCAACTGGGATATCTCCGTAACGGCTCCAGCCAAAGTCAAATTTCCGATGTTTTAGGTAGCTCTCGAACAGTAATGCGCACCACAGAACTGTACAGCGTCCGCTTCTCAACAAATCGGTCCTGGTAAAAATATAAACCAGACACTTTCCACCAGCTGATACCAGATCAGGTAACTAGTGAGAAATGTGGACTTTCATCGCAGGCTATGCTGTATGGCTGTGTCGTGTCCTAGTGAGACTGTCGTAGAATTCACGCGGGTACGCGGCCAACAAAAGTATTTATTAATGTGCAGAGGTTAAAGGGTTTAGGTTTTGGTTGTCTTTTCAAAATTCAATCCAGATAAACAAATTGCTTACTTCAGCCCCGCGGGGCTTATCCCACGTGCGCCGTTAAAACCATTGGTCGCGTTGGCGGATTCGATTGGCGGGGTCGAGAGTTCGAACGGAGTACTCGTTTTTTGTTTGGAGGTTGCGGACTAAGGAAAACAGGTGCTCAACCGCTGATGACCATGAACCACTTTTGACACTAAAATATTTAATCACACAGGCCTTATACTACTTAAAGTGTCATGAGGCATTGCTATCCAATTTTTGGTGCTCTACAACGGCTTTGATGGAGTGCAGTCCCCGAAGACTAGAAGGCAGGCTATACGACTGTGTACACTGCCGCATGCTATGATTGGTGGTGAGTGAGTAGGCGTTCGATAGTCGCGTGCGACGATCTGCACCTTATGCCCTACATGACAGGGTCGGCACTGATGACTTGAGTGTGTATTATTCTACAGTGAAATAGACTTGCGCAGCATCTGTCGCACTCACTCATCCTATGACCAGCAGACTCCGATGACAAGACAATGTCAAGAAAACCAGAGGGGGGCTTAGCCGCAGTGGCTGACAGATCTACATCGACCCGCCCACGTGTGCCCCACACGAGTTTTACAAAAAGGGGGCGGATGGCTCGAGTCTGACATAGGTGAAGGCGACATAGGGAGAACTCCCACTACTGCACTCAAAGAGACTCACTTTATCGTCTCTTCCCGACTGGTTGGTGAAGAATCTGAACCAGGCGGATGGTGGCTGGCGTGTCGGCACGCGTCGCTACTTTACGGACGCAACTATAACAGCGTCGTGACAGTTCGAAATTGCGTTGGTTCATTTGCAGCGAGGAACCAAGCAATGGATCAGTGTGCAAGTGTCCTGCCGGAGTCAAGCTGGCCGCGAGGGAGGTCCATCGATGCCCCTGAACCATGAACCACTTAAGAGAATCAGTCCTGCCAGAATCAAACAAGCCTAGAATAAGAAGGGACACCAGCATTCAATCGTGCAATCAAGCAATGCGGGCGGAGGCCCCTCCTACATGAATCTGAAAGCACGTAGATGCCACAATTAGCCAACTGGCCCCACCCTCTGAGCCAGGACTCAAATGTGGTACATAGAAACTGATGACTCATTAAGGCTCACATCAGGTAGCAGGCCAAAAGCCTTGAGCGACTCGTAGTGTAGCCGAGTCGACAATTTACGAGAACTTACGCGGTGAACCCGTCAGCCAGGTGAAGCAAAAGTCTGCGACGCGGACTCGAATCATGCAGTCGCTGCAGAGCTCTGATTGCCTTCACCACGTCCTCTTGCAGGTTCCTCGCGAGAAGCACTTGGCCTCCGGTGCCGGATGCCGGGGAGGCGCAAGAGGGCAGGAAGTAGATGACCTTGAGGGCGGCATCATCTGTGTAGCCGACTGCCCACCACTTGTTAGACTGCAAGCACACAAGAGGCAGACCAGAGATAAAAGCAATATAAGTGCTACTCATTCAAACAAAGTAGCAATTTAAATATAAAAACGCTTAAGAAGGCAGACTTACGAAGAAGGTACTGCCTTCAAAATGCGCGGAGCAGGTGTACTGCAGTTCCGCGCTGACAGGTGTGTCCCAGGAACCCGAGGGAAGTAGAGTGAGTCGGAAGATGAGACTAGAGTTAGCCCGCCAGGCGGTACCGTTCAGGAAGAGATACGGCGGAGGGGCCATACGTGCATAAGGGGAGAGGTCGAAGGTAATAGTGCCAGCGGCAATGGCCTCATCTTCATGTGATTGGTCTGCAGACAAGGAAACAGCACGAGACATGAGCCCAGTTCAAATTCTCAGGACAGTGAACCTTGCAATGTGGCCGGAAGCTCCAGAGACGACACAGGCGGGAAAGACTAGTCAGCACTTTTCACTGTTGTAGACAAAAACGGCTGATTGGGTTTGAGATTCACTTGGGAATCTAAATTGCTTGGATGAAATTAGATGGGGGTCGAGGATGTGGTCTGTATTAGCGTGACATAGGTATAATTCACTGGACTCCTTGAATACACAGCTTTAACACTGCCCATGCATCCTCTTCAACAGTATCACTTATCCTTCTTTAGTCATCAGCAGGGATTCTGAATTTTGGCAAAAATCCAAGGCCAGAAAAGAAAAAGGTCTCCTTACGTGGATGAATAGACTGGAGCTCATTAATATAAAACATGACCGAAGGAGAGATAACATGACAAAGGTAACCTCACTCATGCTTTACTGGGGTTGCACTGTCGTACACTTTCAGCATATCGCATTACATTATTACCGGGCTATAGTGTCCATGTCAGGAAAAAAGTGCTGTTAAGTGTAGTTGGCTAGTTTATGAAGGTAATTATTATCCGAAGAAAATTCAATGCGACGCGGGAAATATTCATTTTGAAATCACGGTCCAGTGATAAAAAGTTTGGAAGCCGCTGTCCTGCAGCATCGCGCCGCCGTCAGAGCAGATTCTCCCTGCCCATAGGCCAGTCAAAAGACAAGTAATCCTTATGTACCACGACAGTACTACTCATTTTGTATCAGTAATTTGAATTATTCCGAGAGAAACATGGAGAAATGACATGAAGGTGTACCCGACTCTTAATTAAAAATTTTCATCCGACACACCGGGTGGTGGGACGACGAAAGAAGTCTACCGCTAAAAAATCAGAAATTCCTGCGCACTCATCATCCACTTCCGAAGGATCTAAACTCACTTCTAGTTTAATTCTAGGATGTATGTGTTGAGGAGGATTTGGAAATGGAAGCCCGTATGATGCGCCACCCCAAAGGACGCAATTTGCGGTTGCGTAAATTGACCGAATAGACAGGAGAAAGAACCTAGATTAGAGGTCTTCAATCAGTACAGACTATTCGTGTTCTCATTCAGCTACATGACAGTATTCCCACAGTTAGCAGTTAAAGGGGCGTATGGGAAATCGGACTCGCGATGGAGGTGGGCATAGGTTTCGCCGGTTGCCAACTTTACAGACGGGACAAAATGTGCAGACCAGCTGTTCATTTGCGAACATGGAGGCGACTGTAGAGCCCCCTTGCGGAACTAGCTCTCACGAAATGCCGTAAGTGCGTATAGCGCACCCCATGAGTTACACTTTCACGACGCGTTAGTCGCTACGCCCAATCCTACCGCCCATGGGTTGAGAGGCTTGGACTGGTGTATAAGCGAGGAAAAAGGGAGTAAGGTTGAAACTGGGGAATCTATCTCCACGGCAGATCAGCCAGCTTATCAATGTGATAAAGCTGCAAGCGCTTGAATCTACCACTTCGCGCTGAGTCGTGCCTTGGAGGGCTACTAAACTGACGGGATAACTCAGTCCTTTTCAGGATTGAGAGGGAAAACTTGGTCCACATCGTGAGCACTTTGGGGGTGACTGAAGAACTGAGATCCAGGCTACAATAGCTCCTTCTCAATGTGAAACCCCAGCCGCCCTTATTGCAACCGGCCACACGTAGTGGGGACCACGCTATGTGCGGCCCGCGTAGAGAAATTGCTTAAATTTGTTGTCCACTGCGCCCGCATCCGCCTCCGGTGATCTTGATTTTGGCCCTTCATCGGTACATGGTGGTTTAGGGGAGAGAGGGGCGGAAGGAGTGCGCTATGTGCTTCGCAACTCTGCCCCAATAACAACTAATCCGTGCACATGTCGCCGGTGACGCGTCCACTTCGTGGAGCGTGCGGTACACCCGTATCGCTCGCGATGGCCGAACTGTCGTCCTTAGAGAAGACCACATCGGAAAGATATTAAGTGTTGACGAACGTTGAGCCCGTGGGACAGGTTTAGGAATGGAGTTCTGGTGGAATACGACAAAGCATAACACAAGGTAGTGGGTAGACGTGCACGTGAAATTATGTTTCACAGCTGCTACATCGGACGTTCCGGCCACTGTGCCCCAGGTTTGATCACCAGACCTCTTGCGGGTAGGTTAGTTGGCGTACTCTCCTGTTGTTATTTGTCCGTGCGGGATGGGGGGAGGAAGTCTATGCGACATCGAGGGATGCAACTGGTAAACGGGGGGGGGAGAGAGGCAGCGGGAATGGACTCACAGTTTTATCCATCGCACCGTGCGTTGTAGTGAGCTAGTTGACTTCCTCTGTTCATTGTTGGAAAAATTTCCATTGGCTGCGATCTCGAATGTGACTGTGACCGAGAGGTTTAGTGGGTTTTGACCTCCAGTAACCGTATATTGGTTGGGATTGCGTTTCTCGTACGGACAAAGTAAACTGTCCGCGTTACCACCTACTCAGGCCTTATCAACTCTTCCCGGTGATCAGTAGCTTTAAGAGTTAAGAGTCATTTCATATGTCGTAGGAGGGATGTTCACCAATGGAGTTCCGCGGTATCTTGGGGTTTAAAATATGGTCCTTGCAGGCAGCTGCATAGTGCTCAGCTATCATGCCGGAAGGAGTGTCGATCGGGAAGATAAGCGGTAGAGGGGTCATACGAGCATAAGGAGAGAGGTCGACGTCATCGTAACGAAAGACCAACGGCCTAGGCTGTCAGGAAACAGGATGGTCACTCGGAATTGTAGAGAAAACGAGGCCTAACTACTTGCACGCGCGAAGCAGGAAATGTACGCGGTCTGCGAAACTGCTAAAAACAGAGCCACGTCGAAAGGGGGTTATTTGCAGCAAGAAAGGTTATTCACATCTCTCACCGTACGCCGAAACGTTTTCTTACTCGGCCATCCTCTGGACCTCACCCTGCAGGAAATGTGGTATTGAAGCAGAGAACACTCTGAGAATGCATTCGCACCCCAGATCAGTAAGGGGACATATGGAAAATGACGCAGGGGGAATCACCGGCAAAGACAAGATGGAGTGGGGTGGTTATTTCTGGCCTATTAGTCGTCGTCAGTCAGTCACATCCGAACACAAGTCCGGATAATCCGGGATCCGAACCCAGAATGAGCGTCAGGTTCAGCGCAATGGCATTGGATACAGCTAACCGACGACAGCTAATAGGCCAGAAATAAGCACCCCAGTCCATCTTGTCTTTGTCGGCACTCTCTCCTGCGCCATTTCACACAAGTCTCCTTCCTGACCTAGGATGCAAGAGCATTCCAAGAGTGGTCTCTGCTTCAATACCACCTTTCCTGCAGGGTGACATCAAGAGAATGCCAATAAGGAAATGCTTCAGCGTACGGCAAGAGACACGTGAATAGCCTTCTTTACCGCAAGTAGCCTCCTTTGACATGGCTCCGTTTTTAGCAGTTTCGCAGACCGGGTACAGTTCCTGCCTCGTGTGTACAATAAGTTAGGTTTTATAGGCTCCAGGGGTGTCTTGTGTCTAGTTTTTTTACAATGTCAAGTGCCTATTCTGTTTTCCAACGGTCCAAGCCGTTGGTCTCTGATCGGGGGTTCACATTTGAAATCGGACAGGGCTACAGCATAATGACGAGCGATGATGAGGGTGACAAGGGTGTGGCTGGCTGATGACGACTCATAGGTCGGAAACGGCCACCCCAGTCCCTTTTGTTTTTGTAGGAACTCCATTCAGCAGATTGCCTGCAGGAGCTTCACACTAAAAGCCTCAAGGAATGATGGAACAAGCAAATCCCGTAACCCGATCGGTGAACCCTCTTCCTACGATAAGTGCTTGCGCCTAACTTCGCCGTCCGTGAGACCCCTGAGTAAAATGTGGTTATGTGGCCGCACCTGATGGACACAACACTGTTGACCTACTTAATCATCTTGATTTAATGGGATTACGTTGGCATGGTGTTGCGGTGTGTGTTCTGTTGGCGGCCTTGTTTCTTCGCTGCCGTGTCTACCAATGTCGGTGGTCCTGCTTGACTTTCGGTCTGTCGTTTCCTTCCAACTTTTGCGTTGGATGTTTCAGGGTGAGGGCTTAGGGCTGCAGTTGTTTACTGGGGTTATTTTGTGGGCGCCCATAATCACATCGGACACATTTGGCTTCCGTTTTACGTTTGAGGTTAGGATTAGTGTACCGGTTAATGGTTTCCGATTTTCCGGTTAGGGTTACACCTTTAGGCTTCGGTTTTCGGGTTATGTTTAGGGTTTGAGCGTACGAATAGGTTCCAGTATTACGGTTAGGCTTCTCAGTTACGGCTATGTCTAAGGGCTACGGTTACGTTTAAGATTTTGGCTAGGGTTAGGGTTGCCGTTAGGGTTAACGGTAACGGTTTAAGTTAGGGTTAAGGTTGGGATTAGGGCTAAGGTCGCCGTCCGCTCCCCATTCCGGGCTACCAACTGTGATCTAGCCGCTTTTGCATATAACTTTTGCATATAACTTTTGCATATAACTACGTGACCTCGCCGCCTTTTTTTGCATATAACTACGTAACCTCGCCGCCTGTGTGTTCCCTGGCCCCACCTTTAAAAAGCCCTATTGCCACCGGTCCCATAATTCAGGTGGCGGGGGTTTGTTTATTTCAGGTGGGGCTACGTAACCACACCTGACCCAGTTAAGAACCACTTAAGACTGAAAGTGACGGACTGTCAAAAGCAGTCGAATATAGCAGGTCTGGTTTGCTGCAAATGAACTATTCCGTCCGCTTGACAAGTTCGGGGATTTCTAAAATTGAAGATTCCTCAGCTGGCAGCATATTGTGCTCGTTGTGGGCTCACAGTGTGGATTTTGTCCATCCAAACTGGGGTTATTTTGTGGGCGCCCATAATCACATCGGACACATTTGGCTTCCGTTTTACGTTTGAGGTTAGGATTAGTGTACCGGTTAATGGTTTCCGATTTTCCGGTTAGGGTTACACCTTTAGGCTTCGGTTTTCGGGTTATGTTTAGGGTTTGAGCGTACGAATAGGTTCCAGTATTACGGTTAGGCTTCTCAGTTACGGCTATGTCTAAGGGCTACGGTTACGTTTAAGATTTTGGCTAGGGTTAGGGTTGCCGTTAGGGTTAACGGTAACGGTTTAAGTTAGGGTTAAGGTTGGGATTAGGGCTAAGGTCGCCGTCCGCTCCCCATTCCGGGCTACCAACTGTGATCTAGCCGCTTTTGCATATAACTTTTGCATATAACTTTTGCATATAACTACGTGACCTCGCCGCCTTTTTTTGCATATAACTACGTAACCTCGCCGCCTGTGTGTTCCCTGGCCCCACCTGTAAAAAGCCCTATTGCCACCGGTCCCATAATTCAGGTGGCGGGGGTTTGTTTATTTCAGGTGGGGCTACGTAACCACACCTGACCCAGTTAAGAACCACTTAAGACTGAAAGTGACGGACTGTCAAAAGCAGTCGAATATAGCAGGTCTGGTTTGCTGCAAATGAACTATTCCGTCCGCTTGACAAGTTCGGGGATTTCTAAAATTGAAGATTCCTCAGCTGGCAGCATATTGTGCTCGTTGTGGGCTCACAGTGTGGATTTTGTCCATCCAAACATAAAAATAAAGACCCAAAATACATGAGTAGCAATTGATGGCATAAAGACCAAGCGTGATCAAGAGGAAACTCACCAAACAAACATGGGCTCCCCGGTGCTCTGGGTGAGCACTTCCATATGGCCGATCGGGTCAGCCGCGGTTTGATCTCTGCCTTGATATCAATGATGTCTAAGGACTCCGGCCTCGAGCTGGCAGGCGACGGCTTTGTTGTAGTCCGCTGCATATGCTTCAGCTGACTAAAGTAGTTCAGACCGAATTGAGCAATCTGTATGGGGTAGTGGTAGCCGTTGGGATCCCACTGGGAGGAAACAGGGACGTCTACGGAGGGAAGTGGACAGAAGAGGAGACTGGCAGGGCAAGCAAAATGGAACAAAGCAGATCAAACAACCCCAAAATATGGCAGGTGGCATGTCTCGTGGAACGGTAGCCTAGTTTCCAAAATGTGATTCCAACGGTAGCGTGAAACACCTGGGGTTCGATCCCGCGACCTCTTAGTTAGAGGTCCGACGCGTCAAGCCACAGAGCCACAGGCCCGTTGTCCTGTCGGTTCCGATCGGGTGGACACCTTGGGGTTGGGTATGACTGGCTGAAGACGGCTAATAAGCCGGAAATGGCAATTCCAGTCTCCCTTGTCTTTGTCGGTAATAACATTCTGTCTACATCATGCGCCGCTGTGCGGCTGCTGGCTGGACTCGGGAGAGAGAGAGCCCGTAAGGCACAGCGGAACGAGTGAGTTCCGTAAGAGCGAGGGGAGGGGAGGGGAGTGAGTCTCCGCCCAGAGCATGTCACACGCAACTATGACAGTAGTTAAGAACTAACACGGATCCAATGCATCCCAACTAACACGCAGCATGGTCTAAAAAAACGTCCATGTGGGCCTGGCGCAACAACAACCCGTTTTCGGGCCACGACCAGGCTTACACGGAAATGGACGAACGTCCATCTGTTAGGCTGATTATACTCGTGACTAACAACCTCGTGCGGAAACGCAAACAAACATGCTTGCACAGGCTAGGTTTAACTGACCGAACAAAAAAGCATCAGTGTCTGAGTAGATGCTTGTCCTTGTCCTGGAAGACAGGATGTTTATTTACATAAAAATGGACGATAACTCATTCGCCTGTCTCTCCGTACAGACAGATTACGAATAGGGTTGTGGGGGGGGGTGTGAATATGCTCGAAACACTGTGTGCCCCACCGCACGCCTTGATTGGTATATCACAGCTTAACGCAGTTTCATCCCATTGCGGCCTTCACTTGAATATGCGCATTGTTTAAAACCTTACCGGCAAAGAACGTCGACAGTTCCAGACGCACTGGTATATTTTGAGCGTATGAATAGTCCTTTCTCATTATAAATGAAGATTTCCACTAAACTGTCCCCAGAGGATATGCATGCGGAGCAATTCCAAAACCCTGAGAGCACATAAACTCCCAGTTAGCGCTTTTAAAATGCCTGACTCGGTGAACACAAGGAGCGCTTGGGGGCCCACTGATGAGACGAACTCCTCTCAGCTGCGTCGTGTAGTGGTTCAAAATCGGCAAAAAGGTGTCTAGGCCTCTAGATAGCACCTGTGTTGGCACCATGGTGAATCATTCAATACTACTGACTGTCTGTCGGTAGACTGCGAATATCAGGCGGTTATCCCCCAGAAGCCGATGAGTTTTAGCTCAAATGTTAATTCAAACTTTTTGGGCGGGCATGAGCGGGTTTGTCCTGAAGGGGTCAGTCTGAGTTAATGCATTGATTCTGAGGAAATTAAACAACTCAACACTGGAAACTTGGATGTATACCAGAAAGTACGTTGGGAACGACAGGCGGTCCACTGATGGGCCGAGTTCCTCGTAGCTGCGTCAGGCAGCGGCACATGATAGGCGAAACACGCGTCTGGACTAACTGAACTGTTTGCAGCCCTAAATTACTGCATTCTTCCGAATACTAGAATGCAAGCAGACCCAATCTCTTCCAAAAGGACTAACAGAAATAGGTCGCTGTCAGCCACTTGGAAAAAAAATTGCCCAACTTATATGGAAATCAAAAATCCGTACCATGTGGCATGTTGAAAGTGGCGGTGAAAGAAATCCGGACATCCTAACCGTCAAGATCTAGGGTCAGGATCACTTTAGTGATAAGTCGACAGTCGCAAACAACGACGTCCATGGGGTGCCCCACAGAGTGAGCACGACACCGATGGCTTGCGCAGCGTCTACCGCGCTCTCTCTCCTACCCTACCCACGCTGCTCCGAAGACAAAAGCAATGTCGGGACGACCAGAAGTGGGGTTTGGGCGCAGTGACTGATAAAGCTAAACATTTCGTCTACGCGTGCCACGCACGACGCGGTCCCACAAAATGTGCAAGTGTGCGGCAAGAGTGACTCGGATTTCGCACGCGTGAAAGTGCCTTAAATACCACACTGAGGGGTCCTTGAAGTCTGAGTATCAGTCCTTCAATCGCCACAAAATACTCACTACAAGGATCGAGATATTGTTGTCAGTCTTGACAAGGGTTAAGGAAACTTTCGCGATGAAAGGACCGGCGACAAGAGAAGTTTTATTCGATCGGATGCGGTTTGGTAGCCCCACCTGAAGTAAGCGAAGCCTAGTCACCTCTAATAAGGGACTGGTGATAATAGGGTTTTTTACAGGTGGGGCCGGGGGACGCACAGGAGACAAGGTCCAGTAGTTGTATGCAAAAGAAAAGCTATTGGCAATGCACGGTTGTACTTTGAATGGGTGAGAAATAGTTGTGCTAAGCCCTAACCCTAACCCCCTAATCCCAAACCCTAACCCCTAACCATAACCCCCAACCATAGCCCCTAACTCTAACTCCTAACCCTAACTCTTAACCTTAGCCCAACAGTATTGTGTCAATCACGTGGGGCTACCAAACTACATCTTACCTTTTATTCTTTGTAAAAGAGTTGCTGGGCAGTTCGAACAAACAGCAAGTGTGTGCGTACGTTCGACAGGTCCTTGCATGGACAGGGAGTATAGACGTCAGGGGGAACGCTGATTGGTCGGCGGGAATGGATATGTAAGAAGGCCGAAGGCGAACATCAACGTGACGACGTTGAAGCGTGCGGAGACTGTGACAGAGATGACGAGCGTGAGGGCCTAAATTCCAGCCAGCACGCAGAAATAGCTCACCATACATGTAACTTTGAGTAGATTCAACTAATATCGGACGCCCTCCTGTCAACGAACAGCCGACGCCTGCCCAATTTATAGTTTCACATTCACAAAAGAAGTGCTATATACCTTGGTAATTAGTTCGTGAGAGGAGCGCTGAAGGCAGCAAAAGTAAAGTCTTTCAAAGATAAACGACGGAAACTCACTGGAGTCCGCAGAGATGAGCATGACATGTCGGCGTGCCTCTGTGTTTACGCCCGCAAATTCCAGGTATGTCCCACTGGGGTCGTATGGCTGGTCGTCGAACTGAGGACACCTGTCGTCCGTTTGCTTCCATAAGAGAGTCCGATTGGCCAGTTCTACATGGCCAACAGCCTACATGAAAGAAATGAAGCCTAACTGTCAGATGCATTTGAAGGTAGCAGGAGGCGAATAATAGCATCCACAGGTCCCAATGCTGACCTATTTCAGAAAGGGAGGCGCTTACTGTAGTTTTGAAGAAGTTAACTTTATATCTATTTGGACCGCCTTGGCGCTCGTCAGGGGCACAGCAAGCCGCTTTGCCTTAGAGGAGGGGGGGAGGGGGGTCCCCGACAGTAAAAAGCCAGAGCCTCGATCAGGACCAATAAGAAACAGACGATGACCTACTATAAGGCCAGAATGGTCCCCCAACATCTGTAGGAGAACGCATTTTTTCACATAATTGGACAATGTTGGCGGAGGGACACAGCTCACAATGAACACAGGTGACACTTATGAAGTCCCTTTCCTCGTCATTCATTCGGACTTGGATCCTTGATCTGTAGTAGATTAGAATCAAGTTGCCCCAGTAGTGGCTGAATGCGGCAGCTATATTGGGGTGCTCAGCGATGCGAGAAATTTTAGATGGAACAGCCACGGTATTAAAAATCTCACAGTTAGAAACTTTTTAAAACCGAATTATATCCTTGCCTTGAGCACAAAAACGGAATGAGGAAAAGAACGAATACTTTTATGCATGTTTTCTATGAAATATAATTGAATGTTTAAGGGCATCGAAAATCAATGTGAAAAATGCATGCTACATAAGTAGTCATTTTTTACAGAGTATAATTTTTGCATGAAGCCGGAAAGAAGTTTGTTCGAAAGCCGATATCCTGAGGTAACTGAATTATTGTAGAATTACGCTACACGATGATTAGTTTTACAATCCTCCTAAACTTATGTTTTTGAAACGAAAATTCATTTCGGAATTTCGGTTGACATTTCACAAGTTTGCCCACCTATTGGTTGCTTCACAATCAGGCATCATATTATCCTACCCAGTTATATGCGCATATGGAGGTAGTTAAGACATAACCAAACGGTCATAAAAAAGCATGCCGTATAATTTTCCGAGGTCGACAATGACGGCCGACGCATCACGCGTGAATATTTGCGTGCGGCTCCAAGCCACTACGGTCAAACACGCTTCAAACGGTTGGACTCGGACTTGCGACCAGAGCATGGTTGGTGTGGGAAGAGGGAGATCAGTCTGACTAGAGTATAGCGTTCATTTTCCGCATGATTGCCAACGAAACAGGCCTTCAAACTGTCCTGGTGCCCTAAAACTAGCGGCCCTAAAGGCTGGCAACTAACGGGTTAACTTGCTCCTTCTGAGGACTGGAGGGAGGAGGGGGCAGGTTACGATGAACCATGCTTGAGGCAGTATTCATGGCGCCCCCAAATATGTGAGATCTAGCCCCATTCATTAAAGATTAATTGGTGCGTATGGAGCTCAGCAGGCATGCGGCACGCGTAGATGCAGTCTTGGTGTCATCAGCCACCGCGTCTGTCCATAGCTCCAGTTGCCTTGACTCCGTCTTATCACTAGAACGCGGTGCGTGGGGCTTCGCTTACGCACAAGTCACCACCGTGTCTTCTCTAAAACAGTTGTGGTTCACGTCGGCTGCAGCGAATGCACTTATTGAAAACAGAAGCCTGACTGGATCCATATGGGGGCACGGATATGGGTGCTAGAATGGCCCGGAGTAACCAACTGAGTCACAAGGGATCTGAGGTCGTAGTTGATCCACTGCCGTGACAAAGCATTTGGCAGATCCAGAAGACGTGGTTTCACAAAGTAATTTAATTAAAAGGCGAACCCAGTGAAAGTGTTCGGGGTTGTCACTTTCCCCAATGAGCTCAAGAGTTGTATCAAAATCTCAGTTGAATGGAGCGGGCGCAAAAGGAAAAGAGACGTTCACTGTGAGAGGTTTATTTGGGGTCTGAGGTTTCGAGTAGTGATTCCGCCTACCCATCTTCAGAGACTGAAGAGTTTTGTGCACAGCTCTCGATATATGGCGTATTCTTCTTGATGCGCACCCCGCCAATGCGCATCTGAAACTCTTTCCACCGTTGGCTGTGTTATCCTCGTCGTGGCGATGATTTGCGGCCGAGACTGTTGCGCACTGTCACCATCTGCTGTCAAGGTGGATCGTAAAACCCGATGAAGGGCAGGGGGGGGAGGCAAATTGGCGAGGTGGTTGACTGAGCAGTCGGTGAACACTCAGGCTTCTTGCATCCGTCTTGATGTGTGATCATCGCGCCGTCGCACGATCTCCACGGCCTCAAAGTTGAAGATGTGCCCCAGCTGCTCGGCATGAATTGCTACCTCCGACTTTGGGTCAAACCTTCGCACGGCCAACTGATACTCGTACATTCGCGCTTGCAGCTATCGACCGGTCTCTCCAACCTAACTGCACACCCCGCAGCTGCACTGAAGCTGGCAGACAACGGCTGACTTCTCCTGCCTAGGGATAGGGTCATCTGACCGAAGCACTTGTCGACGAATGGCTAAATCAGGCCTGTGAATAACTCCTATTTCGAGTCGCGTGAGGGATCCGGCAAAGGTCTCGGAGACTCCCTTTATGCGCGGGATGCTTCGCCATGATTTCAGCTGACCATACTCTCTGCTACGCTTCATGTTCGACATTCGGCAGACCACAACGGCCGGTGGACAGCATTAAAAGGGCGAGAAAACACAGACTAAGTAAACCACGAGGATCTACCCCGACACTCGGAAATTTCAGTACCTATCCACCAAGTCACTTTCGTTCGGCTCAAGATGTGTGGAGCAGACAGAGGATAAGTAATCGCCGCGCCGGCAAGTTATAGGGTTGACTGGGCAAAAAAGCCTGACGGATTTCGGGGATGTAAGTTGCCCTCGAAGTTCGTTGGTATATTTTATTTGGTCAAAGGAAATACGCTTCGAAGGTAGCTGGAGGCTTACAGTAAGCTCCAGGGATTTTGAAAAATGATTAATGTCCACTGCGGTCTCTGCAGGCAGTCGCATAATGACGAGCGGTAAACAAGCCTGAAATATTGCAGGCAAAGACACGGAGGTTTGGAATGATCATTTGGGAGATTATCTGTCGTCAACAGGCAATCCTACCGCAATTCCAGCCTGCAATATCTCAAGACTAAAACCCGACTTCAGTACGAGGAAATCAAAAAAGTTGTAATTTCTACACTGGAGTATCTACCAGAATGCACACGGGAAATGCTGGGGGATCCACTGATGAGCCGAACCCCCCCCCCCCCGCAGCGATAGAATATCGGCGAAACGTGTGTCTGGGCTTCTTGTTATTACTTGTGCTGCCAGTATGGTATCCTGTAAACCCAATACATACTACTAGCTACCTGTTGGCAGTTTGATGAATATTACGCGGTTAGCCCGCTGTGGTTGAAGGAATTCGGTCCAAATATTCATGCATCAAATTCCGGTCTGCACCTAAAGGTTTTAGTTCAAACTGATTTACTCCGAATTAGCGATTGATTTCTTAGGAACAACGACCCACTAGTTCAATGACTGGTCTATTTCTGTCAGCTGCGATCGTGAATATGCCAGATCAAGTGGGGGTGGGGTTAATAGACCTTGCCTGATTGGCGGACCGAATGCGAGGGATTCATTTGTGCCAGGAATTCCTGTCCGACGGTCGAAAATTTTAGGGAAGGCTTTCATAGGGGGACCAAACTCTTTTAAGAAACAGCTGATATTCAGAAAACGCGAAAATGACCGATAACTTTAAAGAAACTAGGGGAGCTAAACAATAGTCGATCCGCTTTCGAAAAAAACGGGAAAAAGCATAGGATGTCCTTCAAAAGGCGAGGAAAACATCGCACCTCATACCAGTCCTTAATGAGGTCAAAGCTCACGAGAGGGCTGGAGTTATTGAGGAGGAAGCAGCCGCTAGCACGGTGGCCATTTATCAAGCAGGTTAGAGGTTGCACACTGAACCCGTCTGGCGGTGTTGTTGGGGGTTGAAGTTCGGGTCTACCGAGCGTTTGCGGTAATGGATCCTTCTTAATTGATCTGTGTAAAAACATGGAAGTATCATTGCGCGTGTTAGTAGGCAGGAGGGCGAGGATGCGGAAAAAAAGAATTCCATGAAGGTGTTTTCGCGATGAGCACAGAAATGCTTGAATCTTGCAAAGCCTCTTGATAGACTTGTTGGTGAGGAAATTTCCGACAGGTAGAGCTTGCAGGCGGAGCCGAGTTCTTCTATGCAAGGAGAGCCTCACTACACTCCAGTTAAAACTCGAATTACAAAGTATCCAAAAGAATCCAATCCTACGCTCGCACAGATGTGGACACTTGAGATAGAAGATAAAGACATAGAAGAACCTTGTAGATAATTTTAAAGACACTTTTGGAAGAAATCACTTTCTCAGCCTTATATGAATATAAAATAAAAGAGGTGTTTGTTGATCACCAATATCTTCGACTCGAGGTCGGAATCAACAAACATGACTTGATGAAGTTAGCGAGTTTGAAATGAGAAAAAAAAAATAGTTAGGCATCATCGGGTCACCAAAATGGTCGACTATTGTTTGTGGCACATAACAGTAGGTGGGCTAACTCATGAAATGTCAACCGAAATTCCCAAAATCGTTTTCGTTTCGAAAAGATTAATTAAGTAGGTTTGTAAAACTACTCATCATACAGCCTAATTCTGTAATAAGTCAGTTACCTCAGGACGTCGGCTTTCGAACAAACTTCTTTCCGGTTGCATTGAAAAAGTATACTCCGTAAAAATGACTTTCTAGGAAGCATGCATTTTTCTCATTGTTTTTCGATGCCCCTAAAAATTCAACTGTATTTCATAGGAACCAGACATAAAAATATTCATTCTTTGGCTTATTCAGTGGAAGCGTACGTCTTTCAATTTTACACAAGAAGGATGGGTATAAGTCGGTTTTCAAAAACTTTTCTAATTCCCGAATAATTTTGAACCCGACTTGCCGTTACACTTGAATTCAGGGTTTACAAACTACAAACCCTATATTTTCCGCGTACGGAAAACCATGCATTTCTCTACAGAATTAAGAGGACACCATATGGGGCTCATAAAATTTAGCAGTGGATTTGAACCATATTGTTAACTTTGTAAGTCACATTGGTAAATGCAAAGACATGACGTTCTATGAACGGTCATTTCACGGTATTAAGAAATTTCACAATTAGAAACTTTTTTAAAACCGAATTACACCCTTCCTTTGAACATAAAAACGGAATACGTAATCTTCCACCGAATAAGCAAAGGAATGAATATTTTTATAATGGTTGCTATGAAATATGGTTAAATATTTAGGCGCGTGGGAAATCAATGAGAAAAATGCACGCTACTTAAGTAGTCGTATTTCACAGAGTATAGTTTTTGCATGCAGCCGGAAGGAAGTTTGTTCGAAAGCCGACGTCCCGAGGTAACTGATTTATTATAGAATTAGGCTGAAGGATGATTTGTTTTAAAAACCTACTTAATTCACCATTTCATAACGAAAACGAATTTGGGAATTTCGGTTGACATTTCATGAGTTAGCCTACCTACTGTACGTCCAATCTCAGCTCCAGCCAGTTTACCTTGGGTTCCCATTGCTAGAGGGTTCAGGTGAGTAGAGAGAGAGGTCAATGTCATACGGGTATAGGGCGTATTCCCCTTCTAAGGAAAAATCCAATGTACTTGAAACTATCCAATAGCGTTAAAATTTGTAGCTCTGAAGGCTGCCAGTTAACGGGATAATCAAATTCTTCGAGGTCAGGTCGCAACCGATCCGTCTAAACGTGGTCCACATAGCAACCCTCTCCAAGGGGAAATTTAAACTCTTTCCGAAGCCTGGACGGGCGCCATCAGCCAGCAGCCTCACGCGCTTGTTTCAACTGCGCAATTCCACTGGGATATAGTGGATGCAGGAGAGAAGTGAGATAGGCGCTGCACAAGTCTCCTCTCTACAATCACACTAAGGCGCAGGTTGCCAGTGAGCCGCTGAGACAGTAACGTCGACTGACAACCTACAACCAAAATCGAGGAGGCCAGGGAAAGATGGTGAAGGTGATGATGTATGTCCTAAAAATTATAACCTAACTTGAGGTTGCATGGGATACTTAGGTAGGAATACTCACTTTGATGAATTTGCAATCGCATCAAAGGCCAAACTGTACGAGTCAGTTCTTCCAAGTAAACCACTCCTGGTAGTCAGCTCCATCGGCAGATGCTGTGCTGAACACAGAAACCAGAACCGCTTCGACTGGCAGGTGAAACCAGGTTAGGCTTCTTCGATGCATCCCTCTAAGGACGGTGGATTGGTGAGTAAAGCCTGGTTCAGTTACGAGAGAGGAGCTGATCAGGCTGTGAGATGCATCGATGGTTACTTTACACCAAATCAGCGACGTGTCTAAATGACTACGCAGTCGTTTTAACCCCGCCTTATCAACAAAAAATACGTTTGAGAGGAGAGTGGAAATACTTTTGCGCAACTCCTCCCCATCCATTATGATTCAATTCGAGCGTCAATTCCCCCATCCTTAGGATAATGATTCTTATTGTCCCGTTCGAGAGCCTCCCCAGCTTGGACCGTTAGTCAAGTTACGTCTCTCTTCTGAGGAGCGGGGTTTCGTACTTCTCCAGTTTCAGAAGTGTTTTGCAACTTCCCTCTCACCCTGTTCTGGTGCGATACGAGGACTGCGCGGTAAAAGGCGCCAGATACAACGGCATTTCTGTTGTATGGGCCCTGGTTTCTTAAAGCTAGTAAGCAAGTTCAGGAGATGAGATCGGTTATCTTTCCGTCCGTCCACATGAGAAAAGATAAGACGAAGAGTAATAAAAACCACTGCGTAAGTCTCATCGAAGTTTCCGCGACTGCCCTTACTATCGCCACTTCCAGGCAGTTCCAAAGTGTGCGTAGTTCAGTAACGAACCCAGCTAGGCAGGATGCGGGATACTCAAAGGCGTAGTCACAAAGCACACCATTGGTAACAACGACTGACGGCGGACATTTTTCCGACTTTGATCATAATGAGTGCCCGTGGAAAATAACAGTGCTAGGTGGCAGGTTGTGAAAAAGTTGCTGCCGTAATTAAAGCCTACTACTACTACTACTACTACTACTACTACTACTACTACTACTACTACTACTACTACTACTACTACTACTACTACTACTACTACTACTACTACTACTACTACTACTACTACTACTACTACTACTACTACTACTACTACTACTACTACTACTACTACTAAAATACGCCAATCTAACTATCACCGTCGCGAAAAACGGAAGAATTCATGGGCCGCCTACCTTATAAAGACAAGCCTCCGTTCGCAATTAACGTTCAGCAGCCTAAAAGAGTCGACAGTTTCGAAAATCTCGAGGTTAGGCTCTGTTGATTTAACAGAATAAGGCCGTGTGCAGGGATTCCCCAGGCCCTCGAAAGTGCCTGTGTACTGGTCACAGTTAAATCTGCCTATCCACTTAATTTTAATTTCAAACCATGTCGTATTAGTTGAATCTGTTTTTACCAGGGGGGATTTCAACTCGATGCGCTGTTAAAAATTTAGCTCATTGTTATTTGAATAATTCGAAAAACTGACACTTCTACTGACACCAATATCCTGTCCTTCAAACACAGTGGTTAGGAAATGAAGGCGATTTGTTGTTTTTCGATTTTAACTGACAAAAAATCCACTCTGATCATCTGGCCGTAATGTAGGGAAAGATAGAAAGCGATATGGAGAAACTAGTTAGACGTACAACAACGACGGAGGCAGGGACGTCAGCGTGTAAAATCGACCGAAGTAGAAGGCCAGAGTGAACAGCGCGATCCACAGGAGAAGCACACGTGGCCGCAAACGCATTTTAAGATTGGCAGGTATTGACGGGAGGAGTCGTAACGTCGCCTACCTGGAGTCCTCACAAGTCAAACTGAAGTGATTCTCGGTTTCGATAGAAGGCCAATTAAACTGCAAGAAGTAGAATGAATAAAAGTCCCTGTTAAAAAACGAACACAAAGCGGTGTCATGATTAAAAAACAGCCATAGAAGAAAACAATCAGCTAAATGCCACAAGTATGATTAACCAAAGGTCCGATCTTGGATCAAAAAGTTAGAAAAGTCACCTGAGGTGGAAAGGCTAGTGTTGCAAGTAAATCAAATTTATATACCGGGCGGTAGCCTCGTGAAATCAGAAGAGCAATGGTTGCGGTTAGCTGGTACAGTACTACTTTCGAACGAAAGGAGATGCAATTTGCCTGTTCTTCGCAAAAATGTGCGTAAACAGTCAAGCCACACAGGCTAAGGCCAGGCCTTTACGCAGTCTGCTGTATGTGTGACAATACGTGATGACTAGTTCCCTTAGACAACTGTCCTAAATGTTTAAAAATCGGCCATCCCGGGTACAAATGACGGGAAGAAACGACTCTGGGATGGACTGTTTCGCTGGCCTAATACCTAAAAGGCGAACAGCGTGCACAGCGAGAGTAGATAGCGGCCAAAATGCTTGTTATTCTGCTAACTCTCTTTGCCAGTAGCTTTCTGGAGGTCTGGACAACGACGCGGGCATTATGATTGTGTGCGAGGACTAATGCAGAACAAGAGATGCTAAAGTCGTCAAACTCTAACATAACCAGAGGAGGGGCTTCTGTCGTTGGTTCAAAAAGTTAAAATGTAACCAGAGTGAAGATACTGGATCTCGTGAGCATTACCGCCTGCTAGAAAGGTGTTTGAAACAGTTTTCGGGAGCCTTTCAGGCTCAGGAGCACCCATATCCTGGTGCCTGACAGTTAACTGAATTTCCGGGGGTTATATGCGAGGAAATATGTCGGAAAGACAGTTGAGTAATTGTGGATGGGCATGAATAAACAAAATAGATAAATGGGAGAGGAATGACTTCCTTTTACTGTATGGCGCCTGAACTCAGCTTCGAAAGAATGATCGCCCACAATCAGATACACGCAAGTCCTGGCATGAAACGCTGGACTTGCCAGACATGGCCAAGAAAATGCCAAGACAGGACAAGTGATAAGCGAGCACGAAAGACAATGGGAATGTAAAAGTCTCGGGCAACTGCTTAGGGACGCGTGAAGAGGCGCCTGCGAAGTGGGAATGGAGATCACAGTGGAGACAAGAGCCTGACAATTGACTTCCCCATTACGTAGTTCTTTCCTCAGCGATCACTTGGAGCGTAACAAATGGAAATGACCGTCCACAAGATCAAGCTAAGTAGTCTATCGCGCAATACACGGCTAGGTTTCTACGACGGACGCCTGTCTATGTTCCGAAAGTAAGCGCGACAATAGCGTGAGCAAAAAGATAACTTCAACTTCTTATGTTGTGTTGCGCTTCATTTGTTCACTACGCTACGAACTACACCAGAACAACAACGAAAAAACAATTAATCTCCCAAGGCAGTTTTACGTTAGGGCCCCACTTTAAGTGCATTTGTTGTAGTAAGAAAATAAGCCGGCGCAGATAGTTTATGCAGATTCAAACACACTGAGACAAACTCGCCGCTATTTAGTCGGGCGACAGTGTTTTCAGAAGGAGTAAACAGAAAGTAATTACCTTGCCGATGAGGAAGAAGTCCGTCATTTATAGGAAATCTGACAAAATAATTTAAGGAATGTGACCTGTAGGGATTCTAACAGCCATCGATGAAGGGAAGACAAGGTCGACGGACAACTTGTAGCATTTGCCACACCCAACGAATTTCATGGCACAAAACAGGAATTCTGTAGCAACCATTCATAAATGGAGTGATGTGCATACATTGTAGTACGTTTTTCTGCGTATTTATCCATGTGCTCGAAGATTTACTGACTTGAAGATATTTTTTCATTAGGAGAAAACAACATGTTCGGTTATTGAATATAATAAAGGTTAGATTATAAAGTTAATTATAGACGCATGAAGCTAAATTTATTAAATTACCCCTCAAGCAAATATCCGGAAACCATATATGAAGAGTTAACATAGATGACACTGTCTCGTATACTTTTAAAGATACTGTCGTTTGATTTAACTGATGTTAACCGGCGGGGTCTGTAAAGTTTTCCAGACCTGCGAATGTAGAATGTTTTTTGAGAAGCTCCATCGTAAGCACACTACGAATAATTTTAAAATGTTACCAATGTGGCTGTCATTAACTGATAATAACTCCAGCAAGGGTCTGTCGCTAGATCGCACTGCATTTATTTCCGAGTTTTCTGGTTGTCTAAACGGATTCTAAGTGAAAAATACAGTCCGTCAAATAACCAACCGCCTAGTTGGCAGAAAACAGCTCTTGGCTTCTAGTTACGTTGACGAGTGTGATATTGGGCCAAGGTAAGCGATATTATTACGGCGTTATTCCGTCTCATTTAGGTGGTCGTTGGGTTTCTTTGTCTCGGCCTAAGCTTTCCGCCAAGTACCTAATTCTAACCGATAGAAAACCATGTGCGAATGTGTCAAATACAGTACATAACATTGTTTACCGTATCTGGTTGGACAAACTCACAGACATCGTAGAAAGAATTAAAAGAAAAGGGCCACACTCGAATCTATCTGCAAAAAGTGGTACGAGTAACCTTAAAGAATACTGGTCTGCAAGCAGACATTCCATTACATAGGATTAGCAGCAAGAACACGGAGCACAATGCAAAGAACGATTGAGCACTTGCCGAGAGATCTGCTGCAGTTCCTCACGTCGAGCACCAGACACATAAACCCATCCAAATGAATGTCATTCTGCGGACTGTCACGCCTAGATCATAACAGCATCGCGGGATTAGATATCGTAGCGCGATTCCTAACTCAGCACCTATTATACAGGCACTTAAAAGACAACGGTTGCCTTATTTTACTAAGGAATAGTATCACTTCAAGATTAATCTAGTCCTCAGAAAGTCAGATCTCTTGTCGCAAGCTACGGTCCCGTATCATGTGAAAAGTAGGCCTCAAATTCCACTGTGTACTTTCATGAACCACTTTTGTTAATGTCTAGCAACAAGAGTTGTCCAAATGGCAGCCAATATTCCGTTGGTGGTTGGAGACGATGAAAACTCATCACAAGAGGCTTGAAACTATGCCAGGACTTTATCAAGGCCTCAATATGGCTTTTGACACGGGTCAGCATCCATTTTTCGCATAGAAACATTGCAATTATAAACCGGATGGAAATACTGAATCATCTTAGCTGAACATGTCCAGCGTTCGACGTACCTAGAGCAACCAATATGTAGCAGGATTGGCCAGATTTCTTGGAGGGTATCTGATTTTCGGAATGTGAATCACGATGCACAACAAAAGATTTTACTCAGGATGACGTCGCTTATGTTGGTACAAGAACCGACAAATGGCCCGGCGTCAATGTGCAGAAATTCAGATATCTTGATAGAAAATTTAGCCTTAATGTGAAGGATCTCTCCCAGGCAAATACTTATTTTATGGGCTACTTTCGGCACGCCCAGGTGCAGGCGCACGTCGCGCCAGATAGGATAGGAAGTCCTGGTCAGTGTACATTGTGGACCAGGGGTCTGATAGTACGCCTAGGCGCGGGGTTTCGACATCCCATCAACCTGCGTCATCCCTCGCTTGCGGTATTCATTACTCTGTAGTGGCACCGGGCGAGATGAGAGTGCGCAAGTGCGCAAGTGTACTATCGCCATAAGCCGACTCACGCGCATGTCATCGTCCACGCGCCCACACTGCTGTGAAAAACACGATGGACATTGAAGAAGAAGAAGAGTCGAGCACCGGAACAATTCGTTTATTATCCTGAGCTTTCAGACTCGTACAGGAGTCCATCGTCAGAGGTAGTGACAGAAACAGGACAAGCGGCGTACAGAGCCCTTCGTAGTCACCTCCAGTCGTGCGACGTCGGTCGATGATTGGGTTTACGTACCTTATAACTGCCGTATGTCCTGTTTCTGCCACTACCTCTGACGATGGACTCCTGTACGAGTCTGAAAGCTCAGGATAATAAACGAATTGTTCCGGTGCTCGACTCTCCTTCTTCTTCAAATATGTATACACCTGGAACTCGAAATTTCGCCTTCACGATGGACATTGTCAGCCACGGCGGTCGAACTACAGGACCACTAGCTAAATAAGGGCAACATTAAGCGTTTCAATGAAATACAGTCCAAGAATGATTACCATCAGCGTCTTTGGCAGTGTGGGGATTATAAAAAACACAAATCCCGGGCAGGAAAAAACAACGATGTAGAGGTTGTAGACCCGTGCGGCAAGCAACAATTTTCAACAAAGCAAGGCAAACTCTTGCTCAGCGACAACACAAATAGGCAGGGAAGAAGGAGGGAGGCAAAAAACCTCAAGGACTTTCGTTTATTAAGCTGAATTCAGTACGTTTTTAGCTTAAGCAGCATATGATCAAATCTGACTTTCGTTCTTAAAGTGGCAATGCAGAGAAGTTGTGGCCGACTAAGATGAGCAAGCAGTCACAATTTTATTGAAGAGCAAGTCAAAAATACAGAAAACTGTGCAATTGCTAGAAAAACGAACACCAATGGGCCATGATCCGAGTAAAGTTACGGGGTGTTGTGGACTCGCTTGTAATTGCCGGTTTCGGCTTCAAGGTTCTTTGTTGTGTAGGTCAGTTGTGATGAGAATGAACTCACGCGAGTATTGCTAAGGTTGAGTGTTTGTTAACGAATATTGGCGCGGGCAATGAATTTGTAAAGGACTTGCACTTTGCTGCAGTCATGTACTGGTGAAGTTTAGGAACTCAGTGCAAAGTCTTGACTTGCCAAACTTTTTTGACCCTCAAACCATTCATGGTTGCCTTTTTACGTAGAAGAACAACAACAGCGTGGAATACTTAGTTTCTGATGAGCAGTGTGGGGATTTTTAAGGCCTCGTCT